ATATATATAATAGGTATTTGTCTGGTGCTATATGGGAAAAGGTTTGGACTTCTGCAGCAGGATGTAGGAGATGAAGGCTTGAATTTCATCAAGGCTGTGAAAACGGTACGAATGAATATTTCACTCTGTAAGCAAGTTAGCCAGGATAGAAGGTTGTCTTATCTTGAATCAGGCTAATGGCACCTTTAACTCAGTTTTTTCTACATTGACTGAGGGCCAAAACAGACTGGTTCGAAGGGGCCGCATCAAGCCACCCCAGCTGATGCAAGATTGGGGCAGCAGCAACCACATGCCGCGGCCCCACTCACCGTTTTGCTGTCACAAAAAGAAGTGGTGGAGAGCCACTTTTTGCACCAGCAAAACACCAGCTTTTCTGCCACTGCCTTTTGGTGCTCCTGCAGCGTGTCATGTCTAAATGTTGTGCTGCTAAAAAGCTGTCCCCTGTGTGGTCAGTCGGGCAGTTTCCACAGCTGTCCCCTGTGTGGTCAGTTGGGCAGCCCCCTTTTAGAATCGAAGTCGCAGGGGTTTTATTGGTTTGTACTCTTAGTTTGTTTTTATTGTTATGTTTGAATTGTTAGTTAGTTTTAATTGATATGTAGTTTAATGACTTTTTAAGGGGGGGAGGGAATTATATTGTTTTAAGTTGTACGCATTTTAGTCTTGTAAACCACCTAGATTGGCTTGCCACCGGGCGGTATATAAATAATTTTTTATTTTTATTATTATTATTATTATTATTATTATTATTATTATTATTATTATTAAATGACATATTCCCAAGCCACCAGGAAGCTGCTGCAAAGGGGCCATTTGTTTCGCCCCTGACTGGGGTAGCTCTATAGAGCTGAGTCTTTCTCAGTCCTGCTGGTGATTTTGCCTGAAATGCAAGTGGTCTGCCACTGAGTTATACAGAAACAGTGGTTTAGATTGTGGGAATTATGGGCATAATCCACAGGTATTATGTGTGCATTTTGTATCCCATGAAAGGACCATTCACCACAGGGCCCATTGGTTGGAATTTTTATGGTCAATTAGAGAATAATTGCTACAAATTTGTTGAGCATTATCCAGATCATTGACGTTCAAATGCTTCCATTCTTTGATATCAAGTGTGTTACATTCCACTACTGGTTTTGCATTTAGGTGGAATAGCTTCCTCTCTTCCTCCCTACTTTAATAGAAGAAGCTTCAGCTTGCTTATGTGTTCTGTTCTTGTGTTCACTGTTGATGTTTACTCAGTAAACTGAAGACCAGACTAAGCTTTTGGAGACTAGGGACTGTGGTTTGTTTGATCCTGACCTATTGAGCTGTGCATGTGGATCTATTTTTTATTCTTTTCTATTGTTTACATTGTTTTATAACTCATAGAATCATAGAATTGGAAGAGACCACAAGGGTCATCTGTTCCAACCCACTGCCATGCAGGAAATCACAATCAAAGCATCCCTGACAGGTGGCCATCCAGCCTCTGCTTAAAGACCTCCAAAGGAGGAGACTCCACCACACTCCAAGGGAATGTGTTCCACTGTCAAACAGCTCTCACTGTCAGAAAGTTCCTCCTAATGTTGAGGTGGAATCTCCTTTCCTGTAGCTTGTATCTATTGTTCTGGGTCCTATTCTCTGGAGAGCAGAAAACAAGCCAGCTCCCTCCTTAATATGACATCCCTTCAAATATTTAAACAGGGCTATCATATCCCCTCTTAACCATCTCTTCTCCAGGCTAAACATACCCAGTTCCCTATGTCATTCCTCATAAGATATGATTTCCAGACCCTTCACCATTTTAGTCACCCTCCTCTGGATATGTTCCAGTTTTTCAACATCCTTTTTGAATTGAGGTGCCTAGAACTGGACACAGTATTCCAGGTGGGGCCTAACCAAAACAGAATACAGTGGCACTGTTACTTCCCTTGATCTAGATACTATATTTCTGTTAATGCAGCCTAAAATCACATTGGCCTTTTTAGCTGCCATATCACACTGTTGACTCATGTTCAACTTGTGGTCTACTAGGATCCTAGATCCCTTTCACACATAGTCTCGTTAAGCCAGGTGTCCCCCATCTTATATCTATGCATCTCATTTTTTAATTTTTTTTTTGTCCTAAGTGCAGTATCTTACATTTCTCTATGTTGAAATTCATTTTGTTAGTTTTGGCCCAGCTTTCTAATCTATTAAGGTCTTCTTGAATTTTGATCCTCTCTCCTGGGGTATTAGTTATTCCTCTTACTTTGGTGTCCTCTGCAAATTTGATAAGGATGCCCCCTATTTTTTCATCCAAGTCATTGATAAAGACGTTGAATAGCACTGGGCCCAGGACAGAACCCTGTCACACCACACTGGTCACTTCTCTCCAGGATGAAGAGTAGCCATTGTTGAGCACACTTTGGGTTTGGCCAGTCAACTAATTACAAATCCACCTAACAGTCACATTCTCTAGCCCACATTTTACTATCTTGTTTGCAAGAATATCATGGGGGATCTTGTCAAAGACCTTATTGAAATCGAGATATGCTATATCCACAACATTTCCTTTGTCTTTCAAGCTGGTAATTTTATAAAAAATGAAGATCAGATTAGTCTGGCATGACTTGTTTCTCAGAACCCCATGTTGACTTTTTTGTGATAATGGCATTGCTTTCTAAATGTTCACAGACTCTCTGTTTAATTATCTGCTCTAGAATCTTTCCTGGTTTTGATGTCAGACTAACTAGACGATAATTGTTGGGATCCTCTTTTTTCCCCTTTTTGAAGATGGGGACAATATTTGCCCTCCTCCAGTCTGCTGGGACTACTCCTGTTCTCCAGGGGTTCTCAAAAATTCTTGCTAATGGCTCTGAGATTACATTTGGCAGTTCTTTTAATACCCTTGGATGTAGTTCATCTGGTCCTGGAGACTTAATTTAGATTAACCAGGTATTCCTGTACTTCCTCTTTACTGATTCTGTGCTGCATTTCCCCTATTGTGTCATCTGCACATTTTCTTCAGGTTGAGCACCCTTTTCTTTTTCTGAAAACACTAAGGCAAAGAAGGTGTTGAGTAGAAGGTTTTGCCTTTTTTCTGTCCCGTTAGCATTTGCCATCTTCTCCATATAGTAGCCCTACCATTTCCTTCTTCTTCCTTTTGCTATGGACATACCCCCAAAAGCCCTTTTATTCTTCT